TAAACATTGTTCCAGTTTTTTTATAAGGTTTTGTAAAGTTCTAAAAAATTATTTTGTAAACTTTCAGCGCTCAACTAGGTTTATTCTCATTATCAGATATACGTTTGTTGTTCTCTACCTTTCATTATTATTCCAGTTTTTGATTCAATTTTAAGAATTTATTACTTTGTTTAAGTGGTAGCAACATGCCTGGGGATATAGAATTTCCTATGAACTCATAAAGTAAAATCCAGCTCAAAAAACAAGTCTTCCTAATAACCTGAAACGATTTCTCTGTCGTACCTCGTAAGCTAAATGACCTGAAAATATATGTCTGGGATATTATTCTAGTTAATAAAACCCGCACAGGCAGGCGGTTAAACTGTGGAATGGAAACATGAAAGAAGTAACCGTCTTACTTTACCACTTGTAGTAGTTGCAAAAACATGACGTCAGGCGATCAAAAGACGATAGGAACAAATACTATTTCAGCAGTCAGCTAATAGCAGCAAAAAAATTGCGTGCATGCCTCAGTGAAGTTAGGCTTAGCGAGTTGAAAACTTTGCCTGTAGGCGTTATACATACACCTGTACCGAAGAAAGTGGGGGAAATGAAAGGGGGTTGTTCCGATTGTTCTTTAATTTAAGACAACATATTTTCGCGAACCTATTCCATGGGTCATTCACACAACACGACCAACACGTGTAGCATTCTTTTTCATTCTGCAAACGGTAAGAACTTAGAATGTTTTATATAATATCTCAAAATCTTATGCATATGAGATGTAATACACCAAGCACCAGCAGCGAACAACGAAACTTATCAGTGTCCTCAAACAGTCGTCCCACTTGACCCTTCGGATAAAGCATGGTTTCCGCGGGAAAACCCCTTCTTTGGTAACCTAAATTAGCAAAAAACTCATTTGGTTTTCATGAAGGAACCGTTGTGTATCACTAATGAATTAAGAGTTGAAACGACTCACTTTACTTCACTAAAAAAATTCTCGTACCATAACAGAAAAAAATATGTGTTCCGGTTATGTTGCATTTTGGTAACTACAAATTGATCACGTGAAAATTGAAAACACAGAAGTCATCTTTATCCTTTTTTTTCCTTTTTTTGCCTATTAAACCAAATTACAGTATGGAGACATACATTTTGCCAAGAAATAATTAATGAATGTATGAATATTGAAGGATTCATGCGGGATTGTTGCATAGCTATACCGTATATATAGTTTTTTTTTTTTTAATTTCGCGCAAAGCTACACGAGGGCTATCTGCGCTAGCCGGTCCCTAATTTAGCAGTGTAAGACTAGAGGGAAGGCAGCTAGTCATCACCACCCACCGCCATCTCTTGGGCTACTCTTTTACCAACGAATAGTGGGATTGACCGCCACATTATAACGCCCCCGCGGCTCAAAGAGCGAACATGTTTGGTGGGATGGGGATTTCTTCTTAGTGAAAGACTGCATTTGCAACTGTTACAGGTTAGCTGTGAAACAATCTATTTCCCTAATTGCGATTGCCTAACTTACAGAAGTTTTTGTTTCTTTTTCTTTTTACGGTTGGATTTCAGAAGAGTTAAGAGCTGAAGACCTCACCAGAGAAGCTGCTGTATAGTTCTATTTTATTTTAGCATTTAAATTCAGTTCAAATCCAGTTATGTTAAGTGCAGTTTCATCTTTCTTGTTTGAACTTCAATTGGATTTAGTCCGAATTTATTTCATTTTGGCCCATCGTCCGTGCATTCAATAAAATGTTTTTGTTTTTGAATACACTATGAGACATCCTTTTATTTCACATGAATTACAGACCTTATATTCATATTCTTGAATATCAAATCTAAAAACTTCATGTTATTAATAGAAATATCTCAATCTATCTAAAGCTGGAACGTTAGTAGCTGGAGTAGAATTAATTTTCCTTTAACCACTTGCACATTGATTCTCCGTACGAAGATTTATAAAAATGTCTCAGTGTGAGACACTGACTAATCAGATGAGCCCTTCTAATGGTATCCATTCTTCTACATTATAGTTTTTTTATAATTTAAGTTGAAGGTTACTCTGGTTTACTAATGACTCATACACCAAAGTATTCACATAAATGCACGTGCTTAGCTCGTATCCAAACTTACAGGCCTCGTTCTTACCTAAGAATGAAACGGAGACCTTACACACTTTCTTGACGCACACTGAGTAGTGCCAAATTTCAAGCGTAATGAGTCCCTATTTGAATTTCGCCCAAACTTCATGATATGTTTTAAGTAAAGGCAACAAGATTTTCGTCACATTTTATATACTTCATATTCGGATAGACTTTTGATACGTTATCGACAATTTTGTTTTTTTGTTTAATCATTTTCACTTCAATTGAGACTTTTAGTGAGTATGGTATACAGTCTTGGTTAAAATATTTGCATATTTTGTAACAAATAAGATCCTTTTTATTGAGATGGAATACAAACATATTTACCCTGTTAAACTGAGAAAAGCATGTTATATTAAGCATCTATATGCGTAATTTGTATAATGAGACAGGTTAGATGGACATCATGAACGATTGATTAGAACAGCAAATAATTTTACCAGACACCTGTAGAAAGACGTGTAATTCAGCATTTCACCTATCACAACAAAACCTTACCAAAACATAAATACTGAAAAAATATAACATGAAATTATTATAAATAGTGTCTGTAATCTTATATCAGTTCATATCAAACATTCAATACTTGGTTGGTCCTCCTCGTACTCAAATAACCTCTGCAAGGCGACGTGACATGCTGTCGATGAGGATATTGATGTAATCCACCGTGATTTCATCCCAACTTGTCACTAGAAGGCTCTGCAACTCAGCTACAATAGCTGGTTTATGGCCGTGGTTAGCAATTTTCCGCCTCAGTTCTACTCAACAGCCCTCAATGGGATTACAATCTGGAGACTTTGCTGGCCATGGCAATCTTGTAACATCCTCCTGGCCGAGATAATCCTGTACAGTATGCGCACTGTAGGCAGTGGCTTTGTCATCCTGGAATACAAAATTATTTACAAACCTTGCACTAGCATATGGCAGAAATATCGTCTCCATGTAATGCCTGTAGGAGGCGCCATTGAAGATATGAAAAGCAGTTTTTTTCACCATGATGAATAGCTATTCAAACATGTACTTCACCACTTCCTGTTGGAAAGATAGTCTCCTCTCAACTATTCTCCAGGCGAACGACGATAACGAATCCTATCATCAGCTTTAACAAGCTGGAAACAGGACTCATCTGAAGAGGTGAAATGTCGCAAGTGTCCTAATTGTAAGTTGGCATGCTGTCTTGCCCAAGTAACACAGTGGTAGCGGTGAATTCTGGTTAATATCAGTTTGCAGATAGCCTTTCTTGCCAAATAACCTTGTGTGGTCAGTCTCCTATTCACTGTTCTTATGGATACCCTGAAATGAATGTGTTCATGCCATTCCTGTGATAAGGTGTTGTAAGACTTCTTTCGACCTTGACGTGTTAACCTAATCAAACCACGGTCATCTCGGGGCAATAGTTTTTTGGTTTTTTTGGCATCTACCAGTAGACTTTCCTGGAACAGCGTTTCCTATAGTCCGATGACGTTTCAGGATTCTGGATAGAGTACACTGGTGGTACCCTACTGTTCCGGCAATGTCTGTTTGGTTTTTACCATTTCTGGACAGCCGAACAATTTGACGCCCTATAACTCCTAGCAACACCAAGTACAGAGAAAATGTCTGAATAAAGCGTTGATCTGTTTCGAAAAATATTACACCAAAAGCACACCCTATTATATAAAACAGGCGTGTATGTGTGTTTTGGCAAACAAATGCTCAAAACAACTTATACGGACCAGAATAACAACTCGTACATGTCTATCTTCCATGTTACTATTCGGGTATTTACTCAATAACTACTCCACGCATTTAGACAAATAACATCAATATAGAATAGTATGCAAACGTTTTGGCCAAGACAGTACTAGATATACAAGCACCTAGGCTTTCACTTTGTGCATGGCCACTTAAATAAAGGAGATTTTGTTACTTACATATCCTAATCATTTGAGGATCGATATAATTTATATATATATTTATGAGGTTTCTTATTAGCTCAGCAGTAAGTTCTGTTCTTTTATCCTTAAAATCCGGGGTTCGATCCTAACAGAGAGCACACTACAAGTGACCCATTATGTAGCTTTGTTCTAAAACGAACAAATATATGTTATGGGAATTAGTGAGAAACTGAAGCAACTATAACTTTGTTTTAAAACAAACATTTGTTCGAAAATATTTGTCTGTAAGATTTATTACACAAGTTTAGCTATGGCCCATAAAACCATAATTTTCAAATTAGTAACAAGTTCCGTAGGCTGCAAAGATATTAAAACTATTTCAAATGTTTATAATTCAGAGTATTTCCTTTTCATCAGTTGTAATAAGCCAGTTGTTATCGTTTCACTTTTGCTGTTGTTTTACAAACTAACAGCACAAATTTCTGGAAGTTTACGTGCATACGTTATTGAAAAATCTAAATTAGATTTATAGATATTTGTAACACTCACGAATGAAACGTCACAGTAAATGTACAAATATATGTATTTGTATATTCACCTATTCAAAAAAAGATAGTTTGACCTGTTTTAATACAAGTTAAATAACACAAATGTTAATCTTGTTTTAGTAGTACCTAATCTTCATCATTTGAAACAAATATTGAAGAAACAAAGGCGAAATATGTAGAAAGTTGCAATTTTCAGGTTTAAGATTTGATACGCCTAGCTTTTATCTACTTTAATCAAAACTTTCCAACAGCACAGTCATTAAGAACACGATAAGCCTATTTGAAGCGTAGCAGATTGGAGATGTGTGTGTATAAATAACTGCCTGTCTGACCTAAGTTACGTTAATGATGTTCCTGTACGCGGTAAAGAAGGGGGAAGCCACTAGCAGCTGGCACCTATCCCTTACCGTAAGTCAGATATAGTGACACAATGACATCGCCAGTCCACAGAACCTCTAGGAAAAGTCTGTGAGCTCATTGAATGGCAGGGACCTAGTGCACCGTAATGAGCGCCAGTACCATCCGGGCCATTAGGCGAAAGAAGTCAGGACTGTCGGAAGTCAAACTGGTAGTTCTAGGAGCTACGGGGGTGGGCAAAACGGGTAAGTTTAACAACTATGTTACCACGTAAGTTGCACTCAAATGATAGGTATCTAGCATTCTAAAGCCAGGGGCATAAAAGTGTAAACTAGAGATGCACTAGATAATACTAATAGATCCTTATCTCATCTTTTGTCAAGATGCTTTTTTTTTTGTAACATACATAGGTTTGTCTTAATTTTGTTTGCAGACCTATGTGCTTCTGTCATCGAAATTATTTATGTGAATATTTAACATTTAATCGTTTAAAGAAATCAGAATATTATGAGAAAATATTTCATTCCACCACGTTGTCTGTGTCTCGTGACTATGATATAGGGGAATTCTGGTACTTATCCAAGTAGTTATCCAAACCCAGATTCCTCTGTTGCCAAGAATAACATAAAGCTTCTGCGACTAAAAGTCGCTCTCATGTTAACTGCATTCTTGTATAATCACTTAAGAACACTGAAGGAACGATTCTCTTAGTAGGCTCCTTTAGAAACAGAAGTTATATCGATTTGGAATAATTAGTACAAAAGAAAAATAACATGGTCTAAGCAAGTACGTAATTTATAGACATTGCAATTATCACAAAGTTAAAACTTTTATCTACCGCGAGATTTATTATTCCATTTAGCAATAACCGCGTTGTAGTGACAGATTCAACAATGCAAATTACGCCAATTCTGTTGCTTAACGATCTCGTTAGGCGTATTATCAAAATATTATTCGTTGCAATAACCAAATAGTAAGGCCATGATAAGTTTTTTAACCAAATGATATCTTTAAGAACGAGGATTTTCACAATCCATTGTTGACGTAAGGCGCAAGCAAAATCACTAATAAATTTCATTCATTACACAAGAAGAAAGACTTTTATCTAGATTCTAGGATATTATGTTGAATAACAACAACAATAATAAAAGGGACAAAATGTCTGCTGAGAAACATGACTCATGGCATTGCTAGTGTGGTCGGTTAAAAGGATACGCTCAAGCTGACAAAAAAGCCTAACTATATTAAACTTAGATTGATAAAATAAGTCAAGTTATAAACTTGACTTTTGATTTTTATCCCCCGTCTCAGAGGTTCACATTTTCGAAGATATTGTTAAAAATCACAAAAAATATTGCTTTGGTCTACCCAAAGCTATTCCAGCGACAGGTCTCCCAGTTGAACAGCAGTGAGTTTACGGACCTTCAACACTAAAATCCGGGTTTCGATTCCCCGCGGTGCTCTAAAACAAACAGGCCTAGCAATAACGTCGTTAACATTTAGCTAGCGACATTATAAGTAATATATAACTGATGATGAGCTTCTTCCTGCATAATTTAGCCTCCACCCCCTCGATGGCTCAGGGGTAAGCTTAAGGACTTATAACGCTAAAATTCGTGGTGCAATCCCTGTCGTGGCCACGGCACACATATAGTCTATTGGGTAGCTTTGCGCGTAAAATAGGCTAACTAGAATATAACTGAGAAGCCAATTAAACTTTTCAATTCATGGTTGTGAATTTTTTTCCACTAACTGTCAAATTACTGTTTAAATAAAATTAATTATGTGGGAATTGAATGTTCAAGACAAATTAGAAATATGTATGATCTTATCACTTGTTTCAAATAAAATTGTATACTATAGTCTTTCTATAACGTATAAGTAAAAAAAAACACTTTAGTTAATAATGCTAATGTTTTATTCCGGGTGTGGTCATGATTAGCATGTTGGCTGCGAAAGGTCTGGGATGCGAGACGTAGTAACTACCACTGAACACACTCTGCAGTTTCAGGTGTGGTTGGGTTATAAAAGAAACAGCAAATCCTTTTATTTATCCAAAGTGTTGGACAAAGCAGTTTTGGCAGCGGGTACTACTCATCGCCTTCCTTCTGATCAGTAGTTCAAAATTACCAACGGCTATCCCTGAATCCTAAGATTCTCTGACTTGGTTGTTTAGCCCACGTGCACACAAGGATACTCTTCAACTCTAATTACATTTCGAATTATGCACAAAAATATGGGGTTCTTTTTTAGAATAGTTTTGTATTTAGAAATATTATGGTGTTTATTTTCATTCTAAAGAAGAATTCGGCAAGGTCAGAGAAAGTTCAATTTTTGAAGCGCTTAGAAAAATAAAAGTACTTGAGAGCTTCTTATAGTGTCTGTCGATATTTTTTTCCAAAGTTTTCAACAAAAGGAAAGGGGATTTAATTTTTTGATATTATGGAGATCCTGGCTAATAATTGTTTAATCTATCAAGTTTTTCTAAAGAGCCAAATATTTTGCAATGTATTTAAGTAAAATTTTTAGTGAAGTGTTTTACAAAAATTTAAAAACTACTTTTTGTTTGAAGTTAAGCACAAAGCTACACAATTGGCTATCTGTGCTCTACCCACCACAGGTATCGAAACCCAGTTTCTCGGGTTGTAAATCCGCAGACATGCCGCTGTGCCACGGGGGGCTAAAACTATGAAAACAACACGTATGAGATACAGAACATATTAAACTTCATCAACGTGATTTGTTATATCTCGTATTTAAACGACGTTATATAAAGGGGTATATTTATAACTTGATTTAAGCATGACAGAAAAGGAAGGAACCTAAACTACTACTGTACAAAGTAATATTGAGGAACCTCAAGTGTTGTGTCATACAATCTGCATAATGGAGTAACTGTTTTACAGCCTTTAAGACATAACAGTTTATATGAACTGTGGCGACTGTATATGAACATTGCTATTCTTTTAAGTTGGGAACTGAGCATTCGTCAGTTCAGTGCTGTAAAAGAGATTCGCAGAACTTGTGTAATTTTGATAAAAATGTAACAAACCTTTTTGAAAACAAAAATAACTGGTAGTCCAGACCAGTGAAAAGGCATCGTCTATATTACATTGAATCACTATTACCTCTGTTTAAAAATGGATTCAGGACACCTCGGGCTCTTAGGATAATAAGATTACCCTACTAGATTAACCCTGATTAAGAAAAGCCACACAATGATAAAACCTATTTTGTTGGCCCATATTTAAGGCCATGTTGCTGGGTCATGTGATGCACTAGGATGCATGTAAAAAAACAAAAAAAACTGCCTAGAAAGTCAGTTATTTTATAGTTTTAAACTTAAATTATTTATCAGGTTTATTTTATGCTGCGTTATAATTTTGAAATTTGGTAAATGTAATTGACTGGGTGTTGTACAAGTCGGTGAAAACATTCGTCAAGAGACTACATATTTCACCGAACTGCAAAGAGGTGGATAAATTATACATTCGTTTTACACATCAGTAGATCAGGGTCATGATAATCTATTAATTACTCGAATACGAATCCCCCTCCAGGTGGTTCAGCAGTAATTCTCACAGCTTACAACGCCAGAATTCGGGATTTGATATGCGCGGTGGGCAGAGCACAGATAGCCCATATTGTAGTTTTGTGCGTCATAACAAACGAAAAACAACTTATACGAATTTTCCCCTCAAAAATATGTTTTCCAGGGAAAATTTCCTGGAAGTTATTTGATGCAAACAGTAATTATGGTTGCCGCTGAATTGTAAAAATACATAAACGTTATTTGGTTTTGTAGTATTTTTCTTGTTTTAAGAATATCTTTATTGGAAATAGGTGCTTCTTAACGCAGCTCTGCTCAAAATTTAATTGAGACAGAACGTATATTTTAATTGTTATTCATACAACCGTGAGAAATTTTAAATATTATAATAATAATTTCAAGATTGTTAATTAAACAAGCTGGACCTCTACTAGTAAACAGCATTAATTTTTAATCACATTCCCTTTTATTTTAAAGTTCTGGTGGGCTTAAAAGGTTGTAGATCATTATGTAGATAAGAAAAACATGCATACAAGCGGTCAGATGTTACTTTAAGCTTAACGTCAACTTCAGGTTCATGTTTACTTGTTGTTGCTTTACTCGAGTTGTGTAAGAATACTTGATAGTCTCAAGTATGAGGGTAACGACATGTTTGTGCAACTACTCGCTAAAGGAGAAAGTAAACAGTGTCACATTAAAGGCTTATCATTCCCTGTTTCCTCTTCACCACACTAGGCTATTTCAGAGGCATCGCTAGGTGCTTAAAAGATTCGGGCCCATAAGCACGGAAAATTTCGGTGTTTCAATATGATATCGATCATGGTTTTTTATTATAATTTTTCAAGACACCAACTGGGGATTCAGGGCACTGTCAAGTAGAATCGGGGCACGGGTCTCGTGTGCCAGTGCTTAGCGACTCATTTGAACTATCTACAAAATCACCTCCATTCATACTTAAGTGTTTCGTGATGTCCACGCTTTCTTGCCACGAGTGTTCGCTAGTTATTCATTGGTCAGTCTAAACTTGGAAAAAGGAAAGAAGGGTAAAATATGTAAAAATAACTTGGTTAATTCTATAAATACAAGTTGTTCCAAATATAAAAGGCCAAACTAAATTATAATAAAATTAATTGCAAATAATATAAAATCGAAAGATAAGGAGTAACTTTTTAAGTTTCGCGATCTTCTTCAGGGATAAAGAACCACAGGCATGTCAAGAATACAGGTTCCATGCAAGTTTTAAAGACAAGAAAATAATAAATACTCATTTGGTCAATTGAAGCAATTTAAACATAATAAATATACTACTAAGTCAATCCATGGAGTGTTAATACATTTTCTCCGAGAAGATGGGTAGCTGGAAGCATGTATGTCTCAAAATGGTGAATCTCCAAATGACACCGGTCACTAAAACATGATTTATGTTTTCGTGCTAATTTCTTACAGTATCTGTATCACAAATGAAATATTTCTGTTAATTCTACATTGTGTAGGCAACACCAGGAAGCCTGATTAATGTCTAACGTCTAACTAAACACAGATAGTTTTGTTTCCCCTCATATGTATAATTCTAGTTTCAAAACGAGACTGTGACGTCACAGTTGTGGTATCTGTTCAATGTAGTACAGTATCTTGATAGGAAAGCGTCGGTGTTGTGCACAATAACTAACTGTTATAGATATTTACATATTATAA